CCCCAAAACCCCAAAACCCCAAAACCCCAAAACCCCAAAACCCCAAGGTAATTGGGATCTGTTGTTCTTATAAATTTTTAATAATTTAGGTAAATGGGTTATGGTAATCTTGTTAAGTTATTTTATGGATTGCTGACTAATATTCCTTAATTTTTCTCCCCGTCCTTTGTTAGATTTAAGGCTCATTAGATTGTTTATAAGCTTTATGAACATTTTGAATTTATCCGAAATCTGTCACATTCGTAATTGGATTAGAGTTTGAACAACTAGATTAGCTAAAGCTAGTTATGGATTAGAAGTTTAGACTTCATCATAAACAATTTTCTTACTATTTCAAAATATCTGAGGAAAACTATGTATTTGAGCATTAAAATTTCACCTTATTAAGTGCAATAACTGAAATATGAGTGATGAGCTAAAATAAGAGAATAAGACTCTGAATAGCAAAGAGAGATTAGCATAGTTTAGAAAATAGAATGGATTTTGAGTGCATTTAGTTTATTTCTAACTTAACATTGCTATACTTTCATATTTTAAAGCTTTAGAAATATTAAGATTAATATATTTCATTATTATTAGTCCCAATCCTAATAATTTTATCCCAAATTAACTATACCCGTACAGAGTTATGAAAGAGCCAGAAGACAAGTGGAACATAGTTTATTACTTATTCTTCCTATTTGGTATAGGGAAAGTCCTGCCCTTTAATGCAATTGTCACAGCAATTGATTACTTCGATCAGAGTTTCCCAACAAGGGATGTGTCTTTTTCATTTAATCTGATGCTAAATGGGCCTAATTTCTTGTTCAATTTTGTTAATATTTTTACTGCAAGGATATAATATCACTGAGGATAAGGCTGCTGACTAGCATAGCTCTTATTTTTGTGATGGTATGGTTGTTGCCGATTACTACTAATTTTATGGACGAGAGCACGGGATGGATCATATTGATTTTTATTATTGTGATACTAGGAATTTCTAATTCCTTTTTGCACGCTGGTGTCTTTGGACTAGCAGGTATGTTCCCTTTTAAATACACTGGAGCAGTGATGTTTGGTAATGGCATCTCTGGAATTTCCATGAATGTATCAAGGATGGCAACACTGGCAGCATTTCCTCCTAAAGAAATAGAAGAGGAAGGAGTAGATCCAAAGGCTTTTATTGGCTGTATAGTCTATTTTGCTATTGCTTCAGCTATTCTTGCATTTTGTTTTGTAGGCTATTTTGTAATGGCTAAAACAGAATTTGCTAAATTTTATATGAATCAAAAATGAGCAAAAGCCAAGATGTAGGTAGCAATATAAATAGTTTAGAAGTATAAAACCAAATCATACTGAGAATTATGATCAATTGATCACCCATGAGATAGAAGAATCTAGTCAAGACAATCAGATGGAATCTAAAGGGTTCTTGAGAGTTTATAAAGACATCTGGTCAATGGGCACTCAGGTCTTTCTTTGATTTGCGATTACTTTTGTAGTGTTTCCAGGGACTCATCTTAGCACCCATTTTGACTTTTTAGGGGATAGTCTAGCTGATAAAGCATGGTTTTCTGTTATCATGATAACCATATACAACCTTTTTGACACTATTGGAAGATTTGCTGGAGGATTTGTTCAGATATTGACATCTGAGACTTTGTTTTATTTGACAATTACTAGATTAGTCTTTATCCCAACTAGTGTCTTAGTTCAGCTCAATTCTAGACCTAGTTGGATATTCCAGTCAGATTGGTTTAGAATCCTAAATATGGCATTATTTGCAGTAACTAATGGGTATAATTCAACTTTATGAATGATGTATGGCCCTTCACAAACTGATAAGAATAGCAAGGAAAGAGCAGGGATAATTATGAGCTTCCACCTTCTAGGAGGAGTTTTCGTAGGAGCTTTAATTTCAACTTTTGTCATGGTTTATGTATAAAATTATCTTTCAATGCTAGAAGTTCTTAAAGGGGTTTTGGGGTTTTGGGGTTTTGGGGTTTTGGGGTTTTGGGGTTTTGGGG